CCCGCAAGAGAGAAGGGGTAGAATTCTTACTTAAGAGTTAAACCTGGAAGCTTTACTTCCACTTCTTTACATACCTTGTTGCAGTGAACAATTCTGCCATCTCCAATTTGAATTCCAAAAATAGACATAGAGCAAGGAGGCAAGCCTAGTTCTTGCACCAATAAATTAGAAATGAAATTATGTGTGGATCCATTATCCACAAGAAGCAAGACATCACGATTCTTCACTAACTCATCGAGTTTCATAGTTGCTGCAACGTTATTGCCCAATATTGCATTAAACGAGATCTCTGTGGTCTCTGGAATCTCATCTTCGGCATTTGTAACAGCTTCATTTTGCCTTAGATAGTGGCTGGCCATCCTCGTTGATCTCCATAAGAGAGAAAGAAGAGGTTTTGCAGCGATGCCCAAGCTAAAAAACATCCCCACAACGGAAGCGAAGACCTTTATCCCTGCAGCGTTGCTGTTCAGAGTCCAAGAGAGCAGGTCTAATTAGCATCATGCTTGCTGGACGGAGGTTTGAAGATGATGCGTTGGAGCTCCTGGGTGCGTTCGGTGTAAATGCTGAAGCTGTCCCTTGTGCGTCACATGCAGAGTTATTTTGCTAGCTGAAATAAGGGTTAGACTGATTTTAACCATAAGAAGCTATGGGCTTGGGCCCACGTTAAAGTTGAGACTTTTTCTCATATTCTAAGGCAAGAATTGCTACCTTAAACACAATACATGACTTCTGAATTCGCACATCAGCTCTCAATTCTTCCTTTAAGCCACTTAAAAAAACTCCAAGAAGGCAATGTTCTAGCCAGCAAGAAACTTGGGCTACACGCTTAGCAAATTCTTGTCTATATTCTTGAACAGATCCTGTTTGCTTGATAGAACAAAGGTGCTCATTAGGATTTTGGAATTCAGGTGGTCTATAGTGCTCTTGCAAAACCCTCACAAGTTCATCCCAGTAAAGTAAGGTGCGTGCTGAATTAATTCAAGAGAATAAATCTAGTGCATCTCCCTCTAAATTCATGGAAGCAACATCTACCTTCAAGTCTTCCGATGTTTGATAATACCGGAAAATTTTCTCAGCCTTCAAAATCCAGCCTTGTGGGTCCCCTCCACTAAATTTTGGAAAATTCATTTTTGTATATGGTGGTCCTGGGCCTCTTCTGTCAAAGTCATCTTCACTGTCTTCCTCCTAATGAGAGCGCCTATAATGACCTTCCATGGTTTGCCTACCTCTACCATTTGTAGAAGCCTCAAGTGCCTCTTCAACAAATCAAGCGTCTCTAATTTGGAAGCAATTATTGTTAATGGGTCATTTGATAATGGGTTTAAAGTGGATTCATTGTGTGTGGGGTTATTGGAGGAATGGCATTTGGATCTATAGTTTTGTTGCCTGAACGTGTGGTCACCATGTTGATCGAATGTGGCTCAGAGACCAAATTGATAAGAACTTAGAATAGTAGGGATTAAGAAGAGTAATCTACTAAGTTAGCTAGAGCAAGGATCTCACTCTAAATAACTTAACAGCCAAGCAGGAGAATCTCCAAAAGAGTAACGGGTTTATTTCTTCATTCATATCCTGTCATGTATGGAAGCTAGGATATTTAAAATAAAAGAGTACAACTGAATAATTCAAATAATGCAGGATACTAGCCTAAAAATCCAGAACTACTATGCAGGAACTTCCCTAACAACCTTGAGGTCCTATTGTTTAGCAACTAATACTTAAAACAGAATAACAATTCAAATAACAATTAAAATAACAGCAATAATTAATTTAAATCAGATAAATCCCTTAAAACATGCATGACAGCATCAGTTTCAACTATCTTCCTCTTTTTTTTGCGATGATAAGTTATTAGTGGTCTCCTAAGCTGACTTGGATCCTTATCAAAGGCTAGAAGTGATCATAGTTTATAGATATTATTTCATGTTTAATCATAAACTGCAAAGCAATTCTTACGTTTTCAGCTATAGTTACATGAATTAATTAGGTAATTAGCCATAACTTGGTATCATATACTTCTGCATTAACTCTATAGCAGCAGCTAGTTATGGCTGATGTGAATAGAGAGAGATTTGAAAAATCCTAAGCTGCCTTTCATGCCATGTCTGCCCACATTCAAGGTTTGATGCACTCTTCTATTTCAAGTGGTAGTAAGGGCTAACTCCAGTCCTGGTCAAACGAAGGAAAAATACTCCCATTATCACCTTTGCCAATAACTCCTTACGCATTTCCAAAGAAAACAAAAACATCTCCAATTCAAGTAAATTCAACAGGAATAATCACATCTCCACACTAATCTCCATTACAGTCAAACATAATATTTATGAAAAATAGTTTCTCATAACAAAATTAATATCAATTGACAAAGACGAATTTCACAACAGTGGGAAAATATCAGTGCAACATCATAATATTTACCATCTCAATCATAATCTGAAAATCCTTTTTTCTTTACTCAAAAGCTTATTTGTATCTTATATAAAATAGTTTCCCACCCAACAATATTTTAACAACCATAGTCAACAAAGTAGGCTATATGCTTAGCTATAATGTTATATATTTAGGAGGGGGGGTGTGTGTAGTCGAAATAGAATCATATTCTGAAACAGATATCTAGCATGCAGGATAAATTAAACGTGGATACCTTTCGTCAAGGTAGAACATGTAAAGAATACTAGCACACGGTCTCCTCAACTGGACAATACGAAGCAGGACATAATCTACAACAACCTTATAAAAATTTCCCAATTATTACCAAAACAATAGGGAAAATTAATCTTTTAGTCCTTCAACTTTTAATTCACTTGTAACTCAGTCCCTCAATTATGACTCGCCTATGACTCAGTCCTTCAACTTTTGAATCACTTACAAATTAGTTCCTTAACTTTTGTTAATTTTTTTTTTTTATGTTAGCTTATATCTCACATCAATGAGCAAGAGAAGGGTATTTTAAAATAATATATGAGCATTTTTTTTATCCCTCTTATTTGATAAGAATTTTTGAAAAAAAAATAAAAAATAAGGACTGAGTTATAAGTGAATCAAAAGTTGAAAGACTGAGTAGTGAGTTATAGTTGAGGGACTGAGTTACAAGTCAGTTAAAAGTTGAAGGATTAAAAGATTAATTTTCCAAAAACAATACCACAAATTACAACAGCTTCTAAAACATTAATTCTCCCATTTTCCTCAATGTTCCACCGTAATTATCTCCCTTATGAATACCAATTCACAGCCTCTAATTCGCCATTATACAAAAATCCAAACCAAAAATCATCAAAGGGTTCCAATCCATTCCGTCAATCAACCATATTCCAAATAAACCTCAATCAACCATATATATTTCCCAAATCATCAATTCCCCTCAGTTAAGAGCCTAGGTTTTCTTAAATCACATCTTAATTTCTCAAATCAACCAATATGTTTCAATCACAAGCCTTAGATAACTCTAAACAACTTAACTATAGGACATTGGATCAGAATTTAACTGATGGAAAACTTAAAAATCAGTGCCCTAACTAACTTCCAACCAAACGTCCTCAAACTTCCAAAAATCTAGCAGTGGAACGTAGGATTAGGCTCAGGGACACTTGCTTGAGGGATTTAAAGCCTTGAAACGTGCCTAAGGTTGCCCAAAAACGATGCACTAACAGAAAGCCCTGCACTTGCTTGCTTCCTATTCTCTCTTTGTTTCGGCCATCTGACCATATTTATAAAACTGATTTGTATGTCTGTGACCCTGACCGGACAAGCTAGTTATAATTGTGTCCACGCGCGAGTGAACATAAAAGGGCAATTCTGTTGTTCGACAATAGTCCTCAAACGGATGTCCACATAATATGTCATGTCCACAACGGGACATGACCCGAGAGGCCAGGCTCCCCTCTCTGACCCTGTGAGGTGGCCTGATATGGCTTTTCCTGCCACATCCACCAATGAATACCAACAGAACTACAAATCTCTATATTTTGACCCGCTAATGCCATCTCCCACTTATTTGGCTTTAAAATCAACCGTAATAAGAGTCTAGTCAACCCTAATGTCATAAAATAAATACCATATATATTTTGATTCTCAATAGCTGAGAACTGAGTACTTGAGCACAACTAAGTTGTATAAACATTTATTGGGAAGGAAATCTTATCGCCACTTTGCAAAAAGGATCCGATTGTAAATATAATATTTTCTTAGAGCATTTTGGATCCACAATTCCTTGATGGAAATATTAATTTGTTTGGTACCTACCAGAAAGTGAATGAAGTTGAATAAGTGCTGGGAATATTCAACTCACGGGAAGTATCTGAACGCATCTGGTAGTTGCTTTAATTAATTATTAAATGACTAGTTTTCTGTACGGGAATCTATTTCCATTACTATATGTTATTAGTTTCTTTAAATGCACATTCACGGATGTACAACAACAACAACAACAACAACAACAACAAGCCTTTATCTCACTAGGTGGGGTCGGCTACATGGATTGTAAGACGCCATTGTGTTCTATCATTTATCAAGCTTTTAGGAATATTATTAATTAAGAGATCGCGTTCAATAACTTCCAAGAGTGTTCTCTTATTCACATTCACGGATGTAAATAAGATCATTTCAAACGTGACAAATTCAATGGTCTTTTTGTTTTTGTTTGTTTTTTTTTTTTTTTTTTTTTTACATCACTAGAAATTCGGTACTGAACTTACCTTCTGTGGTAGATATTTTTTGGGTTTTATCAAGCAAGCCTTTAATTGTGTTGTATGCAAGTATATGAAAGCCGGAATTGTACAAGAAGATTTATGCTGTCACGTCTGGAATTGTACAATTGGCGTCTTGCAATCCATGTAGCCGACCCCACCTAGTGGGATAAAGGCTTGTTGTTGTTGTTGTTATTGTCTGGAATTGTCATTGACTATGTAAATTAATAATACTTCATTGTAAGTTCCAGTATGCATGTCCAGCATAGTTGAATTTACTCAGTTGTATAACAGTGACTGCACAATTTTGATCAGGTATGGTGTGATGCTGGCTTCCCGAGGCGTGTTGAGAGGCCTCTTGAGATTGCTTTGACTGGAAAAATGAGTAAACGTTGTGCCTGCTTTGAAGAAAATCAACTGAGCCGAGCAGGCTTAGAGGTGTATGATGGGTGTGATGACCATGCTAAAAGGTGCAAAGTCTTGGGCTGAACATTGAACATATATAGGATGATTCTTCTTTGTTGATTACAAGATTACTTATTGGTGGGTGTGATTTGTGGGATTTTTTTGGGTCTTGTATATTAAAAGATTAATACAGAAGATCAACTGGACCTGCTTACATACTTGTAACTAGAGCAACCATTTGCATTGCATTTGAAGAAATGATTATTTTCTTGTATATTAAAAATAATTATTTTCTTCTATGAAAAATGATGTCTTTCACTTTTTGCCCTTAATCTCTCTCTCTCTCTCTCTCTCTGTTTTTTTTTTTTTTATAAGCATTCTTAATCTCTCTTTATTATGAAGATAGAAGAAATGTTTAGTCAGGTTATGTTTCTCATGTCCATGTTAATTAATACAAGGGTAAATTTGGAAAAAAATAATTTTTAGATGTAATGAATGTTCTATATTATAAACTAAGTTTAGTTGGAAAAGAATGTCTTGCAATTTGAATCAGGGTAGTAACTCGTAACAACGTAAAGGAATATATTTTGTAGTGTCTGTATGGGTATATTGTTGGTTTCATTGCATTTTACTTAAATAGTGGATGGCGTGTTATAATTTATTTAGATATGTTGTGTATCAAAGGTTTGTGCTTCATTAAGCTTTTGAATACATTTCTTGTATCATTGAATTTGAGATTCAGTGTTCGATTTTTGTAAGTTTTTTAAGTAGCTACTTTATTGTTCGAACTTCTTTTTGTTTTATTCCTAGAAACTAAAAATGGGACTTGATGACATTGTTTGAAAAAAGAACCAGTTTATTCCAATTTACACTTTTTTTTCTTTGCTTCTAATTATAAGATAAAACTTTGGAGGATGTTTCGGTGCATAAAGCATTTTACGAAAGTTCAGAAGTAATTACACCATCCAATTTTAAATATAAAGTTTAGTTGAGTGATTTTGTTTTTATTTTAAATTTAGGACTCTTAACATTTTCTGTCTTTTTTCATTTAATACTTATTGCTATTATTTTCATTACTTTGTCTCTCATTTTGTTTCCCATATTAAATACCATCATTAAAAAAAGGATTTTTCAGGGAAAGTGGCAAATTTTTTATATAATAATGACAAACAGTCAACTTAATCAATTTTTTTTTATCTCCACAATTTAGTTAATAATGTTTTATGTTTGCTGGAGGGAGTAATTTTATTTTCCCTAAAATATCCTTAATATATGAAATAAAAATGCTTTGTTTACATTGAAGTAAATACATATTCACCCTTTCCCGTGCTGGAAATGGTGAGCATTAACTTAGGGAAGGAGTGGAAAGGATGAGGAAATTTTAAGACATCAATTAGTCAAAAATATTTCATTACTATGTATAAGGTAATCCTCTTCTCTTGCAATTAGGAATGGAAGGAGCGAATAATATATTACTTAGAACGTTTATTTTTTATATTGCTATTTTTTAAAAAATGAAACTAGAAGTTAAATTGAGTTAAAAAAACAATTAATGAGTCAATTGGTTTAGCCTTAATTATAATTTTAAATTAAAAGGAAATTAACAAAGGAAAGAATTAGTTTTTTGGCCAACAGAGGTAAAAACTTTTAAGATCTTGTACTTTAATTGTCTTTTTTAGGACAAAAAGAAAAAATTGATCATAAATTATTTTTTTACGAAGAAAATAAATGGATTTCAAATTTGAAAATAAACAAACAAAAATGTGTTAAAGGAAAAATTACATTCAAGTCTCACAAAAGGAAGTTTATTATCTAGAAATTTTATAAATTTTACAAAATACTTTCAATCTCAAATCCTACGCATTGATGACTTAATTAAGGGCATTGATAAACTGAACAACGATCATTTACAACTTACAATTATCAATGCGTAGGATTTAAAATTTAAAAGTATTTTATAAAATTGATAATACTTCTTGATAATAAACTTCTTTGTATGAGATTTAAATATAATTTTTCTTACATTAAAATCCTACAAAGGAAAGATGGTGTCTTAAATACTAAAAACAAGCCTTTATTTGTTTAGCTGAACGTAGGTTCATCGCTATTGTCTTGAAGACCAAAACTCCAAGTTGTGCCCATCCTTAAATCAAGTTTGTAGATTGATAAACTTAAGTAATCAAGATTTGACCCATAATCCACAATGGGATTAAATCCGGTTACTGATGTGAAAACCTTATTTGCAAGCGATTCAATTCTTTTTCTATCCTATTAACTATTGCTTGACTATCACACACCCCCATCCTGCAAATCGATTCACGTTACCTCCAACCTATATGTAAGGTATGTACATATACATGCATGACAATGAATTTTCGCTAATCATGTCTGCTTGCTACCAAATTACCAAATTACATCCCTGCTACCAAATCAATGACTTCCTAGTTCCTATCCACCAAAGGGGGAAAACCCCGATTTGGGAGATCCAGATATCAAGGAATCCCTGCACTCAAAAAAAAAAAAAACAAAACAAAACAAAACAAAACAAAACAAAAAAGAAAAACAAATATATAGGAAAGTCCATAAGAGGAAACTAGACACAAGACATACATCCTCCAAGATGTTAAAAGGACAACTATATTTCTAAAATCAAGATAAAACTTTTTTAAATTTTGGCTAACATTACATAGTCTTCATTTTTAAAACCTACATATATCTACCTTGAAACAAAGAATAGATTACACAAGCCCCCTATAAGCTTTGTTCAAATTACACATACCTTCTCTTCATTTTCAAAATACATACAAAGTTAAGCAAAGAGATAACCTATCATGTCAGAAGATCTTCATCATATAAATTTCTATTGAAATAAATTAGATATATGCGAAATGCCCAACACTTTGAACTACTTAAATGAATCCACATCAAGGGCAGAAATCTGAAACTGACAACCAAACTAAGCCAGTTACACAAAATCATAAATAAGTTATAAGTGGGATGAAACCTGGTTACTCAAGGCATTTCCTTCTAATAAACAAAACTTTAAGAAGAACTTCTTCTTATTACAGTCTAGCATTTCACTCAAGCTACAATTTAAGTTACTCCGCATTAGAAATCTGTGCCGCAACTCTATTTCTCTCTTCAGACCATGACGAAAGAAGCAAGGATAATCAACAACTTCGTGGATTTGTCTCCCCATCACATCTACTAGAAACCTTATCTTGGGTTCTAGAGAATTTTGGATGCTCTTGATCAGGATTGGAGGAAACCCAACTACCAATGCAACTATCTCTCTGTCACGAAAACCACATTTCTTTAAGTAGGCATAATTGGGCTCCAAAACCCTATTCACATCTCTACTCAAAACTTCTGGGAAGTTCACAGCTACCACTATAAGTTCGAGATCAGTCAGACCTATTAACTTCAGAAACTGAGTAGTAGGGCGGAGTCTTTTATCAACACTATATCCCATAATAAATGGGTTCCTCACTAAAATTTTTCCAATCATTCCATCTTTATTAAGACCAAGGCTAGCAAGGAAGTCCACAATTTCTGTGAGCTTGGTTTCAATGCTGTAGCTGATAAGCCTTGGATTGAGCAGTATTATTTTTCCAAGTCGCTTATCAGGGATGCCCAGTGCCTGAAAGAAGGCCAAAAGAGGACAAAGCTTCTCTTCCACACTATGTGAGAGTAAATGAGGGAACTTGGCTATGGCAGAAGCAACTTCACTGGGTTTCGTTCCCAGCGTCTTGAGGCACTCAACCATGGGAACTATCTTCTCATTAAGGCCAAGCGTAAGAATCTTGGGACATTTTGAAACAATAGATGGGAGCTTCCTCTCTTGGATGCCAATGCTTATCAAATAGGCCCAATTTTCAGATGCTCTTTCTTGATGCACAACCTCAAGGCGCTTGCACTTCCTGAACATTCCTTGAATGCTTTGGTCATCAAATCCTCTATCCTTAAAAAACCACATCATGCCACCACCATTGTAGGTGCTAGTGACTTCCATATCATTCTATAAATGTGAAAAAAGATTTTCAGTTTCATAGATGTGCGAATATCAGGAAAACCAAAACAAAATGTTAGTAAGAAAAATTGTAGGGAAAACCTGTATTCTAATACTAATAGAAAGAAGATGAAAATAAACATATTTTGACCGGGGGTAACTATAAACTCAATCTGAAACTCAGCAACACTAATAACAATCTACAGGAAAATTCTGAGGTTTATTTATCTTAGTTTGAATTACAACAACTGCCCTTTGTCATTGATTTTATATTAATTTAATGTTGCAATGATTCTATTTTCACAAATTTAAACATTAATTCGAATTAAAACCATGTAAAAAATATGCATTCTTGTTGCTAACTGAAATTAGAAAGAATTTTCTACCCAGCAGTAACATTTGAAGTCCACGTGTAATGAAGCTAAGACCAACACCACTCCCCCCCCCCCCCCCCCCCCCCGAAAAGAAGAAATTATTTTTACAGAAACTGCTATGACACTAACCAATGGATAAAACTCAAAATTTCTGAGTCTTCAGACAAAAAAGAGCGAGTGGTTGCGTGCTTTGCTGCGGTTAAAGCCCTGCTACGCAACCTAACACAAAAAACCTCCAAAATTCTTGAGCAATTTATCAATGTCAGAAACGAAATCGGGTCCGAAGATGTTCGACAATTTCAAATCCCAAAAGGATTGCTAAACGAAATCGAAGTATAACTCAGCAAATCAATGTGAGAAGAGCTGGAAATGAGAAAAATCCATAAAGCAAAGATTTCTTCCGTGATGAAAGATGGAAGAGGTGAAAGAGAGGATGGGCCAAAGGTTTGTGGCTATGGAAGGTGGAAATGGAGATAGGGTTTTGAGCTATGGCAGAAGAATCAGAAGCTCTGAACAGCCTCTACAGTACACTGACTGAAGTGAGAGAGGAAGAGGATGATAACAGAAGTGGATTGGGGAGCGATGCATCGTTTAAGGCTTTAAGCGTTCGGTTTCTCTCACCTCCACTTTCTGTCCTCTCCTCATCTTCGTACCCTGCATCAAGATAAAACGCAGCGTGTCATCTTACACTAGTTTGAATCTCAGTCGTTCAATATTGTCAACGGATCCCAACCATCTAATGCTTTCTAAACCCAAAATCCCTCGTCCCTTCCCGTGACTCCATGTCTCCGGTGGACTTGGCTTCAACCCCGCTGCATTTGGAGATAAATCTGGCTCTAAATGGTCTAGAATTAATCTTTTTCATTTTTTAAATAAAAATATAAATTATAAAAAAAATTAATAAACTTGTTTATCAGTTTGAACAGTTCAGATTTAATGTAAATAATCTAATTTTAATATTAAAGCTCTACTGTTCAGAATATATCTAGGTAATTAATTTATAAAAATCATAAAATTTTAACATTATATATGGACCACATATATTAAAATTAGACTGTCTGAACTGATAAATAGATTTATTAAATATTTTTATAATTTATATTTTTTATATTTAAAAATCAAATAAAATAAATATTAAATTTGGATGTTCCAAATTTATCTCTAACTGTCTTCCCTCAGAGGAGGGAAGCTAAGTTCATCTTCGCTGGTCCTTCGGTAGTTGGAGCAGAGTGAAGCCTCCTCTGCAAATCTAGATTGTCCAGAATATTCACACTTAATCTTTTATTTTTATTTTAAATTTATATTTATTAAAATAAAAATATATAAAAATTATAAAAGAAATTTAATAAATATGCTCAGTAATTTTGACAGTACAAATTTAATATAGAGTATCCAAATTAAATATCAATTTTTTTTTATGAATTGACTGTTTAGTTCAGAGCATATCTGCACTGTTTAATATATATCTGAATATTCAATTTAAATTTTTAATATTACACAAAATCATAAATATTAAATATGGATCATTGCGCCTCCCTCGTGGGAGGTTTGGAGGAGGGAGGGAAGCTAACTCTGAACCAGAAGGGGACTCTCTGTGTCGAGCCTGGAGAGAGGTTAGTTTCCACTTTCCACATTCAAGCATTTTCCTTGTTTCATGTTTTTTTTGGAAATGGAATAGTGTGCATCTCTTTTGCATTCTTTTCTCTGCACTCCCCGTTCAACATTTTTCATATACATGATGCGTGTTGCTGTATCAATTGTACAATCAAGTAAATTGATACGGATAAGGAAAGCAACTTTTTAAGATTTTTAGAACAATTCAAATCATTGTATCAACCAAATGCGTAAATGCTCTCTGGTGCAAATATTTTGAATTCACTTGATGTGGATATAGACCTTGTGCCTTTTATATTACTTAGTGAGCTTTGTGTTTGGGTTTATTTTATTTTATTTGCCTTTTCAATTCTCATCCACAAGTGCCAGCCATTTTTACTTTTATTTGATTCACCTGTCTCTTTCCAGTTCCGGCTTTACTTATGATTCCAGGATTGCAAGCAACTTGCGGCCCACCTTTTTATATATTGATTTTAGATTTAAAATATGTGCAAATTGCAAATTTTGGATTTAATATATAGTATCAAAATCTTACAACTTTTGGAGTTGATAAACTTCTGAGACATATTAGAGGTGGATAATATTGATGGATTGTAGGATGTAGTTTTTAATCCTTAATAGTTGGAAGTTACTGGGTCAAATGTGACTTTTGATTGCTTGGTCAAATGTAACTTTTGATTAGGTCAAAGTTCAGTGGTCATCATATAAGAATTCATGATGATCTAAAGTTAAAGGGCTTAGTGATATAGCTACATATGAGATAAGTTTATGACTTGAACCATGCAGCTTTCTCATAGTGCGTCGGTACAGCACCTTGTACTCTTTCAAGTGCCTATGACTTTGATTTGTATCTCTATAATTAATTAAAGTTATACTAGTCTCATTTCATCTTTGATCCCTCATAGATGATCGATCAAGAACATTTAGGACAATCACTATAGTTTGTCCAAGGATACAGCTATCATAGTGAACGTGTAATTGATATAATAACAAAAGAGAAATTCATTAAATAACAATATGCACAGTACAATGATTGATCCTAAGGCACAATTTTCAACACTAACAATACCTTTTTCGATCACCAATAATTAATAAACAATTTTCAAAAAATCAACTCAAATGACAAATGAGTCATATACTAGCAATTAATTATTTTAAAAATTAAAATGGCACTTAAAACTTACTCAAGCTAAACCTTAGGCTTCTAGATGCTTCCTCTTTCCTCCACTAAGCTTACCTAAGATGTTAAAGAAGGGATGAGCATTAACATCTCAGTAATTTAGAATCTTACCATGCATGTACAAATGAATAGCCACACACAATTTACTATAAGTATACATAAAATTTCATTACCATTAATTATAAGCATACACAATTATAGGGCAAGATTCATAATAGTTATGCGTAACACATGATAATATGCAAGATAGGTAAGCCTCTTATTACTTCATCTAACCTTATACTGCTGACTAGAATCATAGGCTTATTTATGGTCTGGTCCATATGTTGGACCGACTAAAGCATCTCCTGTGCTCGAGATGTACTTGACCAAAGAAACAGAGCCCAAACCTAGATTATGGCTTCCCTCCTTGAGGAACCCAATAAAAAGGTATCACTATCCCACATTCACCCTATACGAACTTGGTTAAGTAAGTAAGGAACGGGGCTCTACATAAAGCCAACCATTGTGTGCAAAGTGGAGGTAAACCATGTGATCACAAAATATATATATATATATATATATCAACATCATCATCATCTTCTCCTCAACCCAACTACAATACATGTCATGCATATGCAACAATCAAAGCTTACAAATAGGCTTTAAAAGAAATATAATACCTTAGTGAATCATGGCTATAAGTCACAATCATGATTGGTAGGATTAAAGTATCTCATTAAATGCTGTAGTCACGTTCTCTAAGAATTCTCAAAAATTTATCTCTCACACACACACACACTCAATCTATATACATGTTTCATAATCGATTAGATAAAATTTTGCACAAGCATACTTATATAAATCACCACACCAAATATAATTTGCACACACATAAAAAAAAACTCTAAATTACTTATTCTCCTTAAACTGACAAATAGTATACATTGCAAATTCAAGTAATAAGAGCTCTTGTTGAGAGTGTGATTTTGAAAAAACTAAAATCATCATTAAAATATTCCATCACAGTTTAAGTTGTAAAATTTATGCCTCCCAGAGATGCAATCTCCCTCTCTCATTCACTCTATGTGCGTCACGCTTGAGAAATTGTGACGGTGTGTGTTTAAGTGATGGGGTGCTTAGGTGTAATAATTTAATGGAGTAGGTTGCGGGCTATGGTCGATGCCCAATTCTTTCTTCTTCTATTTTTCTTATATAATATATATTGTATCATAAATACATACATATACATACATGCATATATTCATGGATTTACTTTTAATAATTTATTATTTATCTTATATATATATATATATATTAATTTCATTATTATTATTATTATTTTGGTTTAGAATTAAATTCTAATAATTTATTTTATTTTCCATAAATTATTTTTATTTTAAATTAATTTACTTATTTCTAAATTCTAACCCTCAATAAATAATCACTAATTTTCTATACTTCAAAATTTGTTATGCCTCAAAATTTCCTATATTAATTCATTACTTGATAATTAAATTTTATGATGTTATAGATTTAGAAATAACCCATAAACCAAATCGAATCCCTTTACTCTCAAAGCCTTCCCCAAGTCACTCATGCATAAGGCGGAGTTGGAGTCATATTTCTTGACTCACCTGAGTTTGAGGTAAGGAATGAGTCAGAACAAGAAGGAATGGATGAACTTTGAGAAGGAAACTTGATGGCTAGAGGAGGAGTTAATAAGGGCAAGGACTGAGTTAGGGCAATTTGAACAATAAGGGGAGAGAGAGAGGGCGTAGTGTCAACTAAATTGAGGAGAATAAGTAGGAGGAAGATGAACAAGGGGTCTAAGACACCATGGGGAATCTGATCTATTTGACCAACGCTTTTGTAAGAGCGAAGTAGGTCGTAACTTTGTGCATGGCTTTGGCCTAAGACACTATGAGGAATCCGATCTGTAGGTCATAAGGAGCAACATTGTCAATTTGAACATGAAGTAAAAGATAGGAGGTCATGAGGAGGAAGGGAAGAGAAATATGAAAGGGAAGAAGAATATGAATGGTGGCCATGGCGAAGATGGGAGGTTGGGAGGAGGAAGGGAAGATAAAGATGAAAGAGTAGGCAAAAGTGGTGGCACTTGTTAGGTCTCCTTTACTAGTCCACAATTCACTCCAAAACCAAGGTAATCATGAAATTAACCCAATTAGATTATCAAGTTTGTAAAATTATATAAATAGGATCCTAAGGTTGCAAACTTTCAAAAGATTCTAATATACTTTAATAATTCAAAAAACAAAGTAAAATACATTTACAAAAATATGGGATACCAATTTGCATTAAAGCATTTACATACTAGTTAAGAAAACAGCTTAATAATGTGAAAGGTAGGGGATACACCACAACTTGTTCCTCGTATGCTATAGCATGTCTCCTCCTAAGCAATGTGCCATGGTGCATTGCACAATTATGACAGCATCCTAAGGCAAACTTTTGAGGTGCCCCATTTCTCCATTTGATATTCGATTGAGGTGATCTTGATATTTATAGAAAGCTCTTTCAGAGAACTAGCTAATGGCAGTAGTCTAACTCACATATAATTACACATTAAAAAGTTGGACATCCATTTGCAAACTCACTCATTTTACCTTCAAAAATAACTAAGGTGTCCAGTTTCATAACTAAGTGCCAGAAACTCATAAAAGCTCATAAATCACACTCAATAGACTAGAAAGGACCTGTGCAACACACCAAAACAATCCAATCACACATATATCACATTTTCAATGCCCAACCCCTTAATCACAAAAACAAAAAGGAGATCTTAAATCTCATAATTAATACATAATTCAAAATATCCAT